TAGGGCACATGCACACGGGTGCAAATACAGACACATTGCATACAGTGTAAAATACACCTGTATTGTGGTGCCCAGGAGCCCCAGCTGCTGAGATTTTCTGTCCATAGGAATGTATGGACAGAGTAACTGTATACAGGTGTACTGGCATTTACAGGCACGTGGGCGCAAGTTCCTAAACACAGAAGTTTCTCCTCTCAATCCTCGTCCTGTGCTTCATGTTGAACCCCGAGCTTTCTCCTGTTTCTGAAGAATCCTGCGTCCCTTACACCTCTCGCCGTTTCTTCCTCTACTCGATCTACTTTTGCACTCCAGAACTTCCCCCTATGCCTTCCATCTCCTCACTGACCCTGTCCCCATGTCTCCACATGTGAGCGCTGTACAATGACACACTTTCTGTCACTCATACATCGCTCCTGCTGTCTTCTTGTCAGCTTTCTGTACACGCCCCTTCCAGCGGCCACTGATCACATGACCGATCACGTGAGAAGAAGCGGAAAGCCGGAAGTTACTGGGTTTCTCTCTACAGTCTACACCGAGGCATGGTTGGGTAGCTACGGTATGACGAGTCATGAGTGGGCGGGGTGATCATCTCTCTCGTGCGGTGAATGGAAGGTAGTTTCTCTTTTATTTTCTTATAACCCCTTTCATACAAGTGCCCCAGCGAGGTCTATGTGTTTAATATTATTAAAGTGTCGCATTCACCGTTTCCATGCGTCACCATTTGTTTTTCCTTTGCAGGAAAGAATCTTCCCGAGTAATTCCCCTTTATTTTAATATGTTATGGTTATTTTAGGCTTCATCTTCGTGTTAGCTGATTCTTGACCTTACTATAATAAAGCTGCACTCCAGACTAACAGCAAAAACCAAACAGATGAACTACATGCAAGGGAGATGGTTAATTTCTGTCCATCCAGTCCTAAGCTTTACACAGCTCTGCCAGACATCAAATAGTGATGAGCTTGGGCGTGTTCGCAGCTCCACGCGCCGAGCCCGCCAGGAAGCTGACAGCGCCGCAGCGCCAATCGTAGGTACTGAGACATTATCCCGGTCCGCAGCTGCAGAGATCGGGATATGTCTCAGTGCCTGTGATTGGCGCTGTCAGCTTCCTGGCGGGCTCAGCGCGTGGAGCTGCGAACACGCCCGAGCCCATCGCTAACATCAAAGCCAGCCTGGTGACCTCACTTTTCTCTAGTCCAACTATGGGCTGCACCTGTAAAGGAACTGTAAGGTCTTGATGGTTCTAATAATGGTGACTGGTGTTTTCCAGCAACTGATTGACATCATTCACCTCCTAGGGCGCATTGCCGATAATGGTTTTCTGTGTGCCCTGTTCAGACCACAATGATGTGCAGAGTGCTGTGGGAAAAATGCATTTTTTTGGCAGCACGCTGGATGGCCACACTGCTGTGCTGAGACCTGAATGGATTGTACAATTTGTACACTACAAATAAAGTTTAAAAAACAAAAACCCAAATTAAACAGTGCCTTGTGTAGCAACTCAAGGCACTGCTACTCACTGCTGCCATCCAGTGGACATTATGCACATTTAGCACACGGCTGATGTTGACAAGCCTTAATGGGAGAATTATGGGGTGAAAGACACTCATCCCCATAACTCAAGCCGACCTGTGACACTGAAGCTGTCACATGTCAGTTCTATTGATCAGGAAGTGAGCGATCACATACCACCGATCGCTGACTTCCCGATCCTCTTCCTGCAGAGAACGGTGATGACCGGAGAATCGGACAGGGAGAGGGCGGGCACAGCTGGCTCTGCCTCTAGAGCGGACAATCAGCCAGTGGGGTGCATCTTGACCGTATTGTTGGGATCCACCCCAGCTGCGGCGTGGCTCTGCACTCAGGGCCGGATTTACTCCCCCTGCCGCCCCAAGGCCAGGTTCAGCACTCTCAGCATATAGCGGCCAATAGCCCGCTATATGCTGAGTTTTGGGTCACCGGAGGACACAGTATGTCCTCATATGACCCTGAAGAGAAGTATGGTCAAAAAAAGGTTGCCCCACATTTCTCTTTTAAAGCATCTCAAACTGATATTAAAAGGTTAGCTCACGTTTAGGTACAATTACAATACATTCCCCTACATCCCAGCATCCACAGCACATTACATGATCAGTTAGTAAAAAGATACCGTCTGCATTGCATACCTGTAGGCCTTGCGCGGCCTGTCTGCAAAAACTCCTAGGTATGTGCTTTTCCTCGGCCCTGCCTAAATAGCGGGATGTGCCGGGTGATAGAAGCACACCACTAGCGAATTCTCTGGCTCATTCGCATATGCAGTTTGCTCTCTCTCCCTCTGTAGCAGCAGCGGCTAAGCTCAGTGGTGTACAACAGAGAGGGAGTGTATGCGCAGCGTTTGAACGAGCGAGAGCACTCGTTCCTTTTGTGTTGGTGGTGCGCTTCTAACGTATGGCGCATAGGAGGGGGGGTCTTCTATGGCCTACACGGCCCCCTTTTTTTTTAAAGCTGTACACTAATGTGCTGGGAATGCTGGAATGCACAGGGGATTTTGTTGGAGATGGCCTAAGGGTGAACTTACCCTTTAAATGCCCATTGATACCAGGCCTTGTTGTGCTCTTCTCTCCTAGCCAGCTTTCTATGTTCCCACACTACAGGCAGGTAGCACTCTTAAAGTGTATGTCAAGCCCAAACCCTTTGTTTCTAGTTTTGAAGGAAGTGGAAAGGATCTTGACGGGTTTTTCTGCTGTCCTGGGCTCTGTTAGAAAAAAATCACCCTCACTTCCTGTCCTGCTGACATTAGTTTTCACAGACAGGAAGTGAGGGGAAATTCACAACAGCAACAAATAGAGAGATACAAATCTGACGGGTTCTAGCCCTCCCCATCTCTGCTAAAGAAAAGCACATGTGTTGTAGTAGAGGAATTTCCCTTACTTCCTGTGTTTTAAAGCCTTGTCGGTAGGACAACAGAGCCCCAGATAGCAGTAAAAACCTGACAGGACCTCTGATCCTTCCCTACTCTATCCAAATGTAAGAGAAAAGTTTTGGCTTTACCTGCACTTTAAAGTGACACTAAACTCAGGCGTTAAATCTTAAAAATACAAATACTTTACCTATTAATAAAAATGTATCTTATTTGTGTATCACTCGGCTGTAGATCCACAAGTCATCTCTGAATTCATCCTGACACTGGAGGGGGGCTACTTCTCTTCCCCATGGTCCCTGTGTATGTTGTAAAGTAGTCACGCTCCAAGCTCACTCCCATGATGGACTACAATCTCGTAGTTTACCAATTTGTTTTCAGATTGTAGTCCATCACAGGAGTGAGCTTGGAGAAGTGGCTACTTTACAACACACACAGGGACCATGGGGAACAAAAGTATCCACCCTCCAGGAGGAAGGACAGTGTCATCACCGATTCAGAGATGATTGGAGGATCTACGGTGATACACAAATAAAATACATTTTTATTAGGGATTCACCGAAATTTAGTCGACCAAAACATATCGGCCCAAAATGGCACTTTTGGCAAATGCCGAAAGTGCCGTCTTCAGCTGTAATAGCGGCGCATCTGTGCTTTCTCTCCTCCCGACTGGGCGCTGCTCTGTGTCCCAGCGGGAAGGAGAGAAACTGTCACAGGAGCCGAGCGCTGCGGGAGGAGAGCGATGTGAGCGGACGGCGTCTCTCCTCCTGCACCGCTCAGCCTCCTGTGACAGATCAGGATGGAGAGTGGCGGTGTGACGGCAGAGTCAGCTGTCACAAGAGGCTGAGCTCTCCTCCCGCACCGCCCAGCTCAGCCTCTTGCGACAGATCAGGAGACGGGCTGTGGGGACGGAGACAGCTGTCACAGGAGGCTGGGCCAGCAGTGTGAGGGAGAAGTCAGCTGTCAGAGGAGATCGAGCTCTCCACCTCGCACCACTCACTCAGCCTCCTGTGACAGCTGTCAGGATGGAGAGCAGGATACAAGCAGTCAGTGATTAGTGATCGCTGAGTGTAAATAATGGAGGACAAAAAATGTTTACTGTGTCCCCAATTATGAATGAATGGGAAGTGATCTACATCACCTCCTGTTCATTCGTGATTGTGGACATGGTACAGAATATCTCTACAAGTTTTGAATGAACAGGAGCACTCAGTATAGAGGATTCCTGTTCATTGAAAACAGGGGATGCTGAAAAAGACATTGAGGACTCTGTGTCCTAAATCTCTTTTTCTATTTTAAAAGGGAAATATCAGGGGTCTGTCTAGACACCCCATATGCAGTTGTGATGCAGTCCGTTTATTTTAACTGCTGCAGTCAAAATACATCACAATGCTTTCTCATGGGCTTTCTTGTGCCTAATTCACACCATTGCAGTCCGTTCAGATGCAGTCAGAAAAAGTACTGCTTGTCCTATTTTACGTGCATCTAACTGCACTAAACGCATCAAAATGCAGTGCAAACGCAACGGAACGCATACAAAAAAAACCAGAATTGATTGTGGCATCATCCAGGGACATGCAGAGAAAAAAAAACGTATCACAAATGCATCAAAACGGATCGCAATGCAACTGTGCAGACGCACGCAGTTGTGATGCAGTTTCTGGTGTGAACTAACCCTAATATTTACCAGAACCCCCAACAGTAAAGTAAGAAATAAAAATATTTGATAAAAATAAAATGTAAAAACTTTAAAACGTTTATAAAAAATAAAATATTTTTAAACATTTGAAAAAGAAAAAAAAACATTTCCGGTTTCGCACTGACATATTTTTTCATTTCGGTTTTGTTCCGGTTTTGAAATTGTCATTTCGGTGCGCCTCTAATTTTTATTAATAGTGAAGGCACATGAATGTATTTTTAAGATTTAACTCCTGAGTTTAGTGTCACTCTAACTTGTCCAATCCCTATCATGCCATTACTTTAGCAACACCGTGGCTTTTTTAGCCTCTTGAGATTTCTGTCACACCTACATTATGTATTAGAATGTATACATACATACATGATGCAAACATTATTTGCCTTTTTTTTGTTCATTATTAGGTAGAATACAGTATTTATAATGGCTCTTCTTCCACCGGATCCAAAATGTGACCTTCGAGGAATTGGCGCAGAAGTCAATAGCCTTCATTTTCACTGCAGAGCTCATAAACCATGTCCTCCACTTCTTTTCTCTGGGTATGTTTCATATAAAATGTATATATTTGGGCTGGGCTATGCTATGTAATTATTCATTGGTAATACCAAAATGTATACAAGCACTTCTGAAGATCATATTGAGGAATCTCCAGCTGGACCAAGCTTCATTATCTTGCTAGTCAGCCCCGCTGGCTGTCAAAATACCTGAACAATTTTGTGTTTTGAGAGCCAGCGGGGCTAAATAGCCAGATACTGAAGCTTGGCCCAGTGGGAGATTCCTCCATCCACACAGTTTAGCGTAGATGGAGGAATCTGTTGCACTTTTTCTATCTAACCATAGAAAATCTGCAGATAATCTATAGGTGTATGGCCAGCTTAACACTGACATTGTGTGTAGAATGGCATTTGCCCAGCCTATCCTTAGTTGCCATCTAGTGGCAGTAGTGTAGTGCAAACGGCATCCACCCAGCTATACGCTGGTCAGAAGGGTTATAGATCAACTCCTTGTTGATTGGACATATAGGGATATGAAGTAGGGGTAAGGCTTTACCACAGACATAGCACGGCTAAAAAATGAATAAAAAAGGAGGAGAAGAGGAAGTACCTGTGAACCTTTTAAAATCTGTTCTTTATACAGGTTTATGTAACTAACCTATGTTATCTTTAGCATGCTTTGTCACCGTCCTGATCCACTCATGTAGGGTCCTTTGCAAATACTAACTTTCTGGCAGTTGGTAGTTCCATAGGGCTAAACATGCTCCCTACCCTCAACATGACAACAGTTAGGCCTGGTGATGGACCGCTCAGGCACTAAGCCCTGGTTGGTGGGTAACAGGGTAGAGTGTGTCATGTATGGCTGAGGAATGTAGACTCACAGTGAAGCCTTCAAGCATGATGGCAGTATGGCTGAGGCGCAAAGAGTGCCTGGTATTCGCCAGAGCACCCTGCAAGGGGTACTGGGTTACTTTGCAGGACAGTTTCCAGTTTGTGGCCCACAAGCACACCCGTTAAGTCTACTGCTGACCAGATAATGTGGAGGCAAGGGAACACTGGGATGTACAGCAGAAGAAGGGAAATGCACTGGGAACATAGTGGCAGCAGGGAAAGTCTCTTGCAGGGCTGAAGCACTGGGTACACAGGAGCAGTCTCTTGGAGTGTACAAGTCAGCCATACAGAGGGTGACAGGGAATCAGAGGTGCAGAGGTCCTCAGGCAACAGTGTCTGAGGACATTGAGGACCTCAGGGGGCTCAGCAGTTAGCATATTGATACAGACAGTTCTGGACACCCTGGGTGACAATTGGAGGTGCACAAGATGCAGGGAGCACTTGAGATGCTAGGAAAACAGGAGTGAGAGACTCTTTTAGGCCTGGGGAAGAAAAGGCACAGATACACAGGAGTGTGAGTCTCTTTCTGCACTGGGGTTCTGAAAACACAGGTACACAGGAAGGTGAGGAGTCTTTCGCAGCACTGGGATTCTGGGGGTACAGATACTCACAACCTGTGTGTCATGCAGCACTGGGGGTCTGGGAAGATGGTATGCAGGGCGTGAGTATCTTGCATCACAGGGGTGCTGTCTACATAGGAACAAAAGACTCTGGTAGCACTGGAAGAAAGAGGAGTCAAGCCACTGAGAGCTCAGAAGGAATTCCTTGAGCACACAGGTGCAGGAACGCTGGTAGCTCCTATGTGCTGACAGATGGGAACTCTCTCGGACTATGCAAGGCCCAAGACTGCAGGTACGAGGGGAGCTCTCTTGGAGTTCACAGGGTCTCTGGAAGCTTAGGAACTAGGAACAACCATACACAGGAGGACAGAACACTGGGGATCACTAGGAACTTGGAACTTCTCTCAGGAAAACTGGGGGTCACTGGGAACGGAATGGTATCTCAGGAACACTTGGGGTCATTAAGAACAGGAACACAGGCTGAGGAGCCACTAGAAACGGGGGCCTGGTGCTAGGAACACAATCATTGCTCAGGCAAGCATACAAGAATAAGCATGGCTTAACCCCTTCACGACCAACGACGTTGCCCCTCCTACGGGCCCAGGACCAGTGTTTTATCGAACCAACTTATCGAGATCCAACTGCCTGACTTCCGGTTTAGTTAGAACTAAGAGGTTTAGCCGAGAAGGCTCTACTGCACATGCCCCACCCGCGGCATTTCCCTATACACATACACCACAACAATAAAGTATTAAAATGAAGTAGAATCACACTAATCCAGCACGTTATTAATCTGAGTTGCCCCACTCAAGCAGTGGCCAAATTGAGTGGGGCACGTCAGATGAATAAAGTGCTGGATTAGTGTGATCCTACTTCATTTTAACACTTTATTGCTGTGTAGTATGTGTATAGGGAAATGCTGCGGGTGGCTCACGTGCAGTAGAGCCTCCTCGGCCAAACCTCTTAGGCTGGGTTCACACCTAGACGTACCGAATAGGCTCGTTTGCCGCCCGTTTCATGCTGCACGTGGTAAAAAACCGTGTGACAAACGCGCGTTTCCGAGGGCTATCCGGCTGTATCCTAATGGATACGCGCGGCAAATACGCCCCAAAGAAGCTCCTGTACTTCTTTGGGCGTTTTGCAGCACGTTCCTATGCGCTGTAAAACGCCCAGGTGGGAACCATTCCCATAGACAATCATTGGTTTTCACATGTTGAGCGTTTTACAGAGCGTAGGAACTTCTAACTAAACCGGAAGTCAGGCAGTTGTAGATCTCGATAAGTTGGAACTTTCGATAGAACACCGGCTTCTTTGGTGTCGGTGGGAAGCCGGGGAGGAGATGGACGAACCTCCGTTTGTCAACCCCCTCCCCGTTCTATGTGATCGGGGGCGATGCAGATTGATCACTTCCAGTCTCATAGCTGTCAGTGCTGGGCTCCTGAAGCCCAGCTATAAGCTATTGAAGTGTGATCTGCACTTCAATAGCTTATTTGTAGTGTAAAGGTGACACTGGGGGTCTTTTGGACCCCCAGCATCACCTTAAAGAGTACCTGTCACCACCATCTGCTATCACATGGGGGTCTTGTAAGCTCCCCTATGTGATGGCAATTAACCACTTGCCGTCAGCCCGTTGTGCAGCAAAAATGGCGTCTGGCGACGGCAATGCAGCATTGGCGGGTTGCCGTCGTCAGACGGCATTTTTTTTCTGCCCGCGCGCGCCCCCTGGCGGGCACGCACGGGCAGGAAAAACCCGACCAATGCAAACACCTGTTACCGGGTGTTTCACATATAGACGATCGGTGGCTCCATAAAAAAATAAAAAAAAATGTTACATTTACAATTAAATAAAAGAAATTTAGAAAAAATAAAAAAAACATTCCCCGCCCCCGCGAGCATGCGCGTCCTCACGTAAACACGCATCGGGTGCGCCTACGTATGAAAACGAAGAATGCACTACACATGTTGGGTATCGCCGTGCACGCCAGAGTGAGAGCAATAATTCTAGGGCCAGTATTTTTGGGTATCTCTAAACTGATGATCTGTGGGAGCTTTTAAAGTGTCGTCTATGGATTTTTTGGGTCACTGAATTTTGTCGCCGTTTCACGGATGCACACAATTTTTTACCTGGGCATGTTGGGTATCTATTTACTCGTTGTAACCTCCATCTTTTATATTTTATTTTAAAAATTGGTATTTTATTGTGTTTTGGGCCATTTAAGTAAATTTTTCTTTAAATTTTGGGGTTTGATAAGGAGTTGCGCTAATATCTTGCAACATAAAAATTTGTAACTGCCACCATTTTATTCTATAGGGTCTTGTCTTTCAGAAAATATATAATGTTTGGGATTTTTAAGTAATTTTCAGGCCTAAAATGTGGAATATAACATAGGTGCAAAAAATGGGGGGGGGGGAAAGGCCTCAGTCATGAAGGGGTTAAATGGAAATGCAGCTTGGAAGACTGGTAGCTGATTGGCTGTTGAGAAAAGATATCTGCCAGATAGGAAGTGTGTTGGTTTCCATGATTTGGAGGATTCATAGACTTCTTTTTTGAGGAAGAACAGTTAAAGGCAAGCCAAGGACCGTATTTAACCTGTGGCCACAGTTTGGAAAATAGTGTTATAGTGATTCTCACTATTCCAAGTCTCATCAGCAGACAAATCGTTTTGACATATATGTGCACTCATTCCCAGCAAGTGATTTTACTTAGGCCAAGCAAGCAGGTAGAATTTGTCCCACTATAATATCTGAAATATGCCTAATTTAAGATATTGTTATATCTGATTTTTTTATGACTAGGTCATCTAGTGGGTTGATTCATGTGTGGAATGTAAGTACAAGGAGAACAGAGGCTGTACTAAATGGACATGATAGCAAATCCGTTTTCTGGATCCATACCCTTCACAACAAAGACTCTCTTATGAGGTAATAAAACCTTAGCACCTGTCTTTCTCCTTTTAGGATATTATAGATACCGTTTCTTTGCTATATGATCCTGTTTGCATAATTTCTTCCTCCAGCAATTATCTTGCTCTTTAATACTGTAGATTGATAACATTTGCTGGAAGTAAAGAGGAAGGCATTATACATTTTTCCTGATATAGATTATGAAAACATTTTCATAATCATCTGAATCTAACAGGATACAAATAGTTCAAGATTTCAGGGTGAACATCAGTTTCTGCCACGGTAAACATTTGCATACCTTAAAAAATGAAAAAAGCAGGTTTGGTTCCTGAACCACTCAAGTTCCAGCCTCACCATAGTTGGACAGATGCCCACTTTTGACAAAATCCTGTACATTCAACATCAGAAAATTATGACTGTGATCTCCTTCTAGAAGATGTTCCCAGAAAATGTCATAATTGCTGGATTTGAGAATGTCCTGTCTCATATCATCAGGAAAAAGTTTCCCAGCACACTCACCAGCCAGCATGCAACAAAAACCTGTCTAACCGCTAAGGTTAAAAATAGGTTTTAGATACACGTCTTCTGCAGAAAATGTGAAAGCCGCACTGCCTCTTCAAGGCCCCTATGTGTAGTGCGGTCCTAACTCTAACCTATAGGAGTCTCCATTTGGAGCACATGTAGCAAAATATAAATTGGGTGCAGGTTCACTAGGAGGCAGCCCAACCTCCTTTAAGGCACAGGGACACACAACATATTGTGAATAGCCCGTACAGCAGCCCTTCGGTTCGGCTAAACTGGAGGGCTCCAGTGGCCAAATTGAGGCGAAGGCTCAATAGTGAATAATCCCCATACTATGAATATGGAGTGTATCATTGACATTATTGCTACTGGGAGCATATTGCAATAAGTTTTCAATTGCCTATATATTGGGTTTAGGTGCTTTTTGGCAATAAGAGGTTGCAGGGCATTGAAATGGGATTTGTAGATTACAAAGGTCTTTCTAGGAGATCGGGTTCCAGCAAGCATTAAGTGCCAGTATACTAGGAGAATACTTGTTTGCCTTAAAGTGACACTAAACTCAGGAGTTAAATCTTTAAAAATGCATTCAATTACCCTACCTATTAATAAAAATGTATCTTATTTGTGTATCCCTCGGCTGCAGATCCACAAATCATCTCAGAATTCATGCTGACACTGTCCTTCCTTTATTCCCCATGGTCCCTGTGTGAGTTGTAAAGTAGACACCGCTCCAAGCTCGCTCCCGTGATGGACTACAATCTCAGTACGGGAGCAAGCTTGGAGCGGTGGCTACTTTACAACACACACAGGGACCATGGGGAACAAAAGTAGCCACCTTGCAGAAGGAAGGACAGTGTCGGCACCAATTCAGAAATGATTTGAGGATCTACAGCTGAGTGATACACAAATAAGTTATATTTTGTTATAAGTTAAGGTATTTGAATGAATTTTTAAGATTTAACTCTTGAGTTTAGTGCCACTTTACCAGGATGGTATATTGCCCTGCTCCCAACAGCTGAAGACACATTGCATCATGTTAGATTCATGTAACCATTTATAATTTTACATAATATTACAAAATATGTAAGGAAATATTTGTAATGTTGCTTTTTTTAATCGATAACCTTCTTGTGGACCATTTTAGGATTAGATATTTTTAAATATTACAGTATGTGTGTTGTATATTAGAGCATGTTTTATGTTTCTTTTTGTGTACAAGCCTTCAGAGATAACTCCCAGTGTGTTGGCAAGATAGGGCCAGATAATTTGGAGCAATATCCTGGAGCCCGACTTTTATTTTTTTTGGTGCCAGGATACATCTAGTCTAGGATAGTTGTCTCGCTACTGTTGTAATTACCTGTCAAGAGTTGCTTAATATTGTGCCAATGGGCTGCTATCTATTATATCAATTATCCTGGGAAATATTACATATTGCAATGCAATATTTCATTTCAACATCTACAGGTAATTATGGCATTTTATAATTGTGACTACATTTGTTTAAAAGCTAACTCAATGGGTATTGGATGCTATTTTAATAAATACACAAGTGTTGTACTTCACATCAATGTTGGGATTTGGGAGTCATTCACTGTTTTGTCTTTAAGACTCTTACTTTTGTGTACTTAAAATAGGTTTCAATAGACAAGAAAGTCCCATTATATTCTGCAGTAATATACATATGTAATTCAAGGGGTTTAGACTTACTACTGTTTGTAGAATAAAAAAAATAGAGAGGGGCAGCACTGGGAGCCATTTACACTATACGCAACAGTCTGGACAGAGGAACCTCACAAATGCTGCTGATAATTCATTGTCCAATCATCTGGCAGGAGGTTTGTCTTGACCAAGAGGTCCTACTGCAGTGAAGAAGGAGCTGCATGTTGCGTCTGGCAGGAGTGTGCAGATCACATATTGGTTGAACAAAGTTACAAATCCTTTGTCCTTTTTTAACTATGTTTACCTAGTTGTATAGATGAACCAAAGAAATCTTAAAAATCCATTGCCTAGTATAACATTTTATATGCAAGAGAAAGAAACCTTCCTGGCTATAAAACTATTTGTAATGTAAGTGGCACAGTAGACAGCATTTGGCTAGCATTTCTGTACTTTGTAGTGAGATATAAGGAGAAAGCATCTTCTCTTTATAGTCCGAATGCCACTGACCAATTTTGGTAAACATGGAGACTTGACAGCCAGGGGTTTTGGTGCCCCATTGATGAAATGTACTGTATACCTGGAGCTGACATATTCTTATTCGGTGGATCAATTAGATAGAACACACATATCCTTCTCATAGGTAAGTTATGAACAACTGGACTTTTTAATTCCATTCATTTAAACATATTTTGTTGGCGGCATATGACCAGGATCAACTAGATCTTACTGGATTTGCCATATCTGTTAATAGGAACTGGTTGACTACCCGGGGAAACATTCTCCAAGGGGGTGTATATTTTAGAAAGTACCCCAATTGTTCACAGATCAGGGTATAAATATTTCTGAGTTTGATGTATAATAAGTTCTGGATTTTTTACATTCTTCCTGTCATTAGTAGTGATCAAATAACAAGATTAAGCAGAATGTAGAATAATGAAAAAAGCATCTAAGATGGAACACAGAATGGAGCAGCATAGTTCATTGCCATATAATGCAGCAATACATCATTTTATTTATTAACAGGTTAGGCATAAACTGTTGTCTAACAAATCCAAACAGCAAGTCAGCACTAGTGACTTGCATCTTCTTCTACTCCACTTGTTTCCTACGAGGGAGGCAGCCAGTCCCTTTCGCCGGTGAAATTCTCATAGACATGCAAAACATAAACACAAGGGACAGCGCCCTCAACGCGTGAAGCATGTTTAATTTATTGGATATTATAAAAGATTGAAAATACTCACAATTTAAGTTCATACAGTATATACAGGTGTTACAGAAAGGTGGGTAGTTGGTAAGCTGATAACAATCCCATCCATAGACGGGGCCCGCAACCCACCTTTATCATTGGAGATTGCTGTACAACACCTGTGTACATGAATTTTAATTGTGAGCATTTATAATCTTTCGTAATATCCAATGAATTGAACGTGCTTCATGAGGTGAGGGCGCTGTCCCTTGTGTTTATATTTTTTTATGTTATCTCTATTGTCTATTGAAAGACACAGGAATTCAGAAACAGTTGGCTGCCTACAGGCATTTGGAACAGAAAAATAGTAAGTCCCCATATAACCCCTCCTCTACCCAGCATACCTCATTTCTTTGCTAGTGTCCTTGGAGGTTGAATGCCTTTTCTTCACCTCTGCTGAAAAAAGTTTAACACATTTTTGCTAGCATTTTAACTTTGTGGTATTTTTTTGTACTTGCTGCCCACAACCAAGATTCTTGCTACACCGCTAGTATTTTTTTTTCTCTGTGGCGTCAATCAAGATTTCTTGCTACACTGCTGCTTGAGCTCATCTTTACATAGAACTGAGCTTTCTGAATCGGCTGCTCCTCACCACTAACTTTGGCAGCCATACCCAGACCCCACTGGGCTATGTAAGCCGTAGAGCTCTTTCTGAGTCCAGAGCCATGACACAGCCCCAGGTGTGACCCTGTGTCTGAAGACTCACATTGGTCCTAGTTGCACTACCACTGTGCGTACGTAACACGTCTTCACAAAGGCACACAGAGGACTATAGTGACCAGAATGACCATAGCCTGTACTACCCTAGAGGTTCTGGGGTCATTTACCTAGTACCCTGGAAGGAACCAACACCTATAATCCAGAATCGGGGACTCCTGTTGTCATAGGTTCATCCTCATTGGAGGTTAACTTAGCTCTGACAGATGCAACTGAGCTTTTCCTGTGTCCACAGGGACCTCCTTGTCCACTCTGGATCTCCCATCTTCTTGTGCCCAGGCTGAGGCCTTTGCTGTGTCCACAGGGACTTCCTTGTCCACTCTGGACCTCTCATCTTCTTACACCTAGAAACTGGTCCTTCTGCCCAGAAGTAGGCCCTGTGGCTCTTGTTACTGTCTCTGATACAGTCTATCTTTGGTGGGGCTGTTTTCTGGTCACCGCAGTTAGCCTGCTTTTCAAAGGCTTTGAGTCTTGTAGAGCTTCTGCAGCTACGAAGACCTTCCATCCGTTATTTGGGTTTTTACTCTATGAGGACTAAAAACACCCCAAAGGTTTCGGGACCCCATATCTGACAGTGGGAGAGGGAATTTATAAATCAATGGTTCTTTCACACGGAATGCACCAGTGATCCACCTTAACAGACAGACCACCAAGCAGGTGAACCGCATGCTCACCTCAAGGGATATCAATGACAGGCAGTTAAACTGACAGTTAAAAAAGTTATACTCACCTGAACCTCGGGGGCGACTCACTCTTTGACGGGTCCCTGGAGCCTCTCTCCCCCTCCATTGCAGCAGTCTAAGGTCCTGTGAGTCATTACGTCCAATACAATGAGGATGCTGTGGGACATACTATCGCTTCAGCAGAAGAGGAGACAGGCTGGAGGGAGCACTGCCAGCTCCAAGGATTGGGTGAATATAACCTTTTTTTTTTGTACCCTAGGCAAAAACAAGCAGCTAAACCTTGTAGTACTGAGATAGCCCCACTGCAAGGGTTAGTAACATTACTGCCTGGAGTTCTTCTTTAAGAGAAGTATCCTTGAAGTTTGTATCTACCAGTCCTAATGTTTATTTGGCTGGATGATATCTGTTAGGATTTCATGCTTTGAGCGCTCTCACATTTTCTTGACATCTCGCTGCACGATTGTTTGCCTGATCTGGCAATTAGAATTCTGAGGCTTTGGCCTCCTCCTGTAGATTGGCTGGTGGTTTTTTTTTTACCTGTTTTATGGATTGTATTTTTTTTCATTGAACACACCTTAAATTTGGTCTTGTTACTAACTCAGGCTCAATGTTTCCCGGGAGATGCTATTCCACTTGATGGTGGCATATCTGTCCTGGTTGGGAGCACCCTGTCTTGCTAGGGCTCTCATCGGTCTCAGATTCAGCAGTTGGTCCTTCAGGTACCTCTGTGTTCCAGACGGTACCCAATACCTTGGTCTGTCAGTGGCTGTTGCTCACCCCTCAGCTGGACTGCTCTTCGACATCCCCACTGGTTTTGAATGCCATCCATTGGACAATGGAGAAAATAAGTTTTTGTACTTTACGTGAAATCTTATTTCTTCAAGTCCATTTGTGAACACAGATCCCACCCTCTGTGTTTTTTACTGGCCCTGTGGAGCTTTCTTACAAAAGAGGCATGCTCGGTAGATAAGGGGTTATACGGGGCTGGCTTACTTTTTTTGCGTTTACCAGTGCTTTAACCTTCTGTAGGCAGGAGTACCTGACTGTTTGTGAATTTCTGTATCCCCCAATGGACTTGAAGAGCAAGATTTTTCGGGAAATACAAAAATTGTATTTTATGGGTAAAGGTTATTGTTTAAGAGTTTTTCCAGTATTGTTAGAGCAGTTACTGAAACCCTTGTGTGTCTCGTAAGTGGCTTGTCAGAAGATTTTTTTGCATGGCTTTTTTAACCAACTGATTGCTCTAGGTAGAACTACTATCATGTTTCATCTTTCATCAAATAATTGGATCAGATTTATGAAAACTGTTGGCTAGACGTGTACTCTACTTGCAATTGTCTGTAATTTTACCCTGAAGGTAATTAACAAGTTATTGCTTTTCATGGAAACTTATCTGCTGTAACCTCAGTTCGTGTAAATGCTTTTTCAAGGTGTCATTATTATATATTAATCTAAATGGTACTTTTAATAGAACCAAACTTCCAGGAAGAGGCAGTGCCAAACCATCTCTTAACAGTATAGACACTGATCCCAATTTGTCTTTCAACCAAAATCATATCTCTTCTGTAATATCGTGTTAGTTTAATGGTCCGTATGGTAACGGCAATTACGCTTCATGTACAATGAATCTTCTGTCAGCTATGCTAATTCAGCAGTTTTACACGTAAGGTGAAATTGACTCAGTGTTTGTAGTGTGATATTTGAAGAGCAATGATCCAAGTGATTGCTGGTGGACATGTAATTTTTTTCCATAATGGTTTATTATTTTGCTTGCTGTACTTTTAGTTTATATGGACAGTTAAAGTAAAACTCTAGCCAAACCAGTTTTGGGTAGAGTGTAGAAGACTTAGAACCTCTGTTTTTTTTATTGCTGTTTGTCCTGGCGGGGAGCATTCACTCTGGCTTTCTGTGCTGATGACTATTGTGACTGGAAAAGGTGGTGAAGAGAAATCTCCAGATACGTTGGTGACAATTCAACTCTCTTCCTGTTATCTCTTTAGGAGGGAACTTGGGGACACCCACCAAAAAAATCTTGACATAGAGGCACATTTACAGCAGATTAAAATGAATGGGCTACCTAACATTAGTTATTACAGGTATTTATATAGCGCTGACTGTACGCAGAGAATTACATACTGCACATTTACACCAGTCCCTGCCCTCAAGGAGCTTACAATCTAAGGTCCCTATCTCACATGCATATGTACAAGGGCCAATTTTAGACAGCAGCCAATTAACCTACCAGCATGTCTTTGCAGTGTGGGAGGAAACCCCAGTACCTGGAGGAAACCCACGCAAGTACAAGGAGAACATGCAAACTCCTTCGAGACAGTGACCTGGCTGGGATTCATACCAGAGACCCCCAGTGCTTGCAAGGCAGAAGCGCTAACCACCACGACACTGTGCTGCCCCAAACATGCAGTGCCTTAGTGCATGAAAACAATAACACAAAATCACCTGCACTCCATACAGCGTACAGACCTTAACGGAGGGTTGGTGCTCAAAGTGACAACACGGATGGTGCCGTGTTAGATGCAGTCCATAATTGAAGTCACCAGCACTCGATGAGACGTGCAAGAAGTAAAGCACTTTTTATTAAATTGCCACATGCGTCATACAGCCAACGTTTTGGGGCCACGGAGGGTCCCTTCTTCTAGGCAACACAGTGACGACTATCACTATGTCACCCAGAAGAAGGGACCCTGCGCGGCCCCAAAATGTTGGCTGTATGACACATGTGGCAATTTAATAAAAAGTGCTTTACTTCTTGCAGGTATCATGGAGTGCTGGTGACTTCTATTATGGATTAGTGCATGAAAACACTTGTGTTGCAGCACACTGCCCTTATAGCTAAAGAGACCAGCTGAAGCAAATTGGATAGTCATAGCAGCAGTGTGGGCGCACTCAAGATTGTGATTTTAGTTGTCTGTGCAAAATATAAAGGCTGTTGCAGGAAATGCTCCTTTCTCTTTTTTTTATTAGTAAACCTTTTAGGACTCATTCAAATGGGCTTTTTGCGCAACAGTGAGATGAGAAGATGTTTCAGGGGGTGTGACTATCAGCATTGTCACTGGTGATTTCATAGGCCTGTAGCTTGTCAATCAGCACATGGCCACACCTAGTCCTGCCCACTGCTTTCTGGATTGGCAGAACTGACTGGTCTGCTGAAATCCTCCCACTTGTGGCTGCAGTGTTATGTGAGACACAAATGAAGGGGATTTGAATGACTCAAGGGGGGTATTTTTTTTCTAATTTATGAGGCTTTTGCATCACAGAGCAACTGAATTTGAGTCTTGTTTAAACAGGAGCCTTTAGGTATATGTCCAAAAACAGTAAGCAAGGGGAAAGATTACATCTTTACAATTTCTCTCCATATAGAGTATATGGTACTACAGTTGCTGCTTTTTTATTATAATACTGTATGAGGAGTACAAATGTACAGTAAAGCAATAGAGGTTTAATTAGATTTGGTGTGTCACTAAAAGCAATCTCTCATCGATTTAGGTATGTGACAGAAAGTAGCAGTGGGAGTGTTATCCCGAACACTTCCTCTTGATACCATACATTTATGTGTATAACATAATATTTAAATCCTAATCATCCATGTGATTGATTTAGCAGGCATACCATAATATAAGAAGTATATGGTTTTGCGATTGTCCGTAATGAATTGTGTAACACTGCACAAGAATTTTCCTGCAAATAATCATGATACGGTCAGTACATACTAATATTTCCTCTTTCTCTCCCAGTCAGGGTCGTGATCTGCAGATACATACTTGGAATTTGGCAGAAGGAAGAAATGAAGTGACTGACTCTATTGCTGTAGATAGTGTTGGTTTTTGCAAGTGCTCCTTATTAAATAGTGAGCATCGTTTACTAGCCATGCCAGGAAAGGAAAGCTCACAGGTAAGAAATATGTATTTAGTTATCTATAAAGGATAACCGCACTTTCATTGTAAAAATGGCCCTAATATCTCCCTCCTCCCTACCTTTCCACCAAATTAGTAAATCTAAACACAAATGTTAAAACAAATATGTGCTTTGACAATTCCGTTTAAGGGCTAATTCACACCAGCCCCAATGCGCTTCGGCCCGATTGCTGCCGGAACGCATTCTTGCATTGAAGTCAATGGCACCACAGCCACGCTCTCCGGCAGCAGTGCAATCGCCCACACCGGAACGCATGGCACATCAGTTCACCAATCGGACCGGAACGCACTGGGGCTAGGGTGAACTAGTCCTAAAGTGTGGGGTATCAAAGGAAAGGTAGTACGTGCTGCTAGGGAGGCTTTGTCCTGCAATGTAGACAACGTCACTTGGACCTTTTCTGAACATCGCGCTAAAGAGTTCTCTTAAAGAATAGCCGCTAGTGCAGTTGTCGTTTTAAATTACCTCCCAAGTGGTGAACCTATCCCTGTTGCTTGAATATTTTTGCTGTGTGCTGGGAACTGCACAGCCTTTTCTCTGTGAAGGTGGCCATACACTTTACAACCCTCGCAAGACTTTTGTCTTGCAAAGGTTGTAAAGTAATGTAAAAAACGTACGATCTGTCCATCTTGGAGAGGCAGATCGTACTTGCGATCATCGCAAGCCCGCCCCCCTGAGGGGCGTGTTTCCGATGACTGCAATGCACACCGGCCCGTTCAGCAGTTATCTCTCGATCATGTTAAAAACCAGCCGAAAATCGTACGATTCTCAGCTGGTTTTCCAACATGCTCAAAATACAAAAGTCATGCGACCGTACAGTAGAAACGGTCACACGCCTTCCATACACTGCACGATTATCGTACGATCGCGGAATTTCCGGTGGACAATCTTTCTATAGGTATTAATAGAGATAAGCAGAGGAAGTAGAGACTTCCAGAAAATAGGCTCCCAGCACGCTATACAGCAAGGATCATGGAGGAGTTGAGATGAGTATAAGACTTTGGGAGTGGTTACTGTGAGGAGAGGACTCAAATGCAGTTGTCCTTGAAGCATGTCCATTAAAATGATTGGTAGATACAAAAAAGATACCTGTATCGAGTATTTTTAGTGCAACTGCACAACAAAATTTTTTATTCTTGATGATTTTCCCCTCACATGCTTTAGCAAAAGAATAAAAAGTGCATTACCACGTGTTAAAAATGCACATTAGCATTTAAAAGTTTGGAATCACTAAGAAATATATTTGTTTTTTTAAATAATTCATACTTTTTTATTTTAAGCAGAACTACGGTAAAACAACTTCCTAACCCTTGCAGTGGGGCTTCCTCCGCACTGCATGGTTTAAGTGCTCGTGTTCGTCTAGGTTTAAAAAAAGTTATATTCGCCCGATCCTTGGAGCCCAGCTGGCTGTTAGACCGGTCCCTCCAGCCTGTCTCGTTATCCGCTCCAGAGGTCTACGGTCCAATACACTGTATTGAATGTGAGGACCTGAGGAGCATTCCATCGCTGGAACACCCTGCCTCAATACTCCTATTGAGAACCCTCAGCCCTGATAAAGGCAGTGGGCTGTCTCTGAGAAGGAGGTATGCAGATATCAAAATGTATTGATGGGTGGATGTCACATTGAAGGAGTAGATATTCCTAGGCAGGATGCATTTGCATTAAGACCGCCCTAGGTAAAGCCCACAAGTGTCGTGGAGCCTCCATAATTTAAAGAACTGGCATCTGATGAATAAAAGGGGTGGCCAGGAACATTTGGGCTGGGGTGGAAAATGCTAAATGATACTGGATGTCCTCTAGCTTGGAAATGAGACGGGCTCTATCTGACTTGCTGCAGCTTCGAATGCATACCGTAAGAAGGTGACCGTTTGCAATGACATCAGATTAAGCTATTTCAGTACAGATGAGGAGCCTGTACACCTGTGCTAAGCTAAAGATAAGTTTTGTCTCCCAAATGTACAGATGTTTCCATTCCTCAGTGCACTGCATATACCAGGCTACTTCGCTTATGTTTGGGTGTTGGGTCTTTTGGATGCATAAGCTATTGTCTCAGTGTATTTCTGGAATTGAAAGACAACAAGCCACTGACACACCATTAGTAGTAGTAGTAGTGGTATTATACAGGATTTATATAGTACCAACAGTTTGAAAGAATGACTCTGTTACTATATTTGAGGTGTTGGGATTAAAGAGGAAAACATATTTGAGAAGTAAAGCAAGTAAAAGAATACTGGAGGGCTGATTGATGGCATCTTTGAAGCATGAAGGAGAAAATGTAACGGTATGAGGCTGCTTTGGTGTTGGTAAGGAAGAAAGAAAGCTTGCTACACATAATGTTCATTGTAGCCAGCACTTGATTGGTGCAAACAACAATCTAAATCATACTTCTAAATCAAGGCAACACAAATCTGGTGAAGAAACAGGAAGCTGTAGACCTGTGTGTGATGGACTGACCGGCACAATCACCAGATCTCAGCAATATCGAGCCCTTGCACGAAGAGCCTCACTGTAGGGCCAGAGAAAAATGCCATCCCTAGTAAGAGCTAAAGAGTGTGAGGGATGAAAGTTCCCCTGAATATCTTCAAAAACTGACATCTACAGTGCTAAAGGTTTGCAAAGCTGTAGTAGCTACAAATGGAAGGTTCTTTGTTGAATGTAAATTTGTTAAACAGGGCAGTTATATGGAATAAAATGCTGTTATGACATTGTCAATCTAGTGGCTTTCATTTCTGATCAACATGATGCTACCTTGGTGAGTAAAAAGAAACGATGTTAAAAAATATTAAAATTTGTAATTTGAACACTACTTAAATATATATTTTAAGTGCAAGTATATGTGAAAGCACCTGTAGTAATGTGCATCATGTATATGTGTTACTACAAGTACAGGGCTCAAAACGTTTGAAAATTGTGAGTTCCATCTCCTCTTAGGAAGTCTTTATGTCTGGCTGCTGACCAACGAATGATACATTTTATCCTGGTTAATGTAATGCGTAAGGGTTTATCTGTTTATAGCTGCATTTATGAGTTACACTCTATTCTATGGTTGTGTCATCGGATGCATTTATAAAGTTTATTAATTTGTGAAAGGGCGTACCCATTATCTTAGTCTGATGCAGCCTCATTAGGACACTGGAAGCCTCTGGCAAAACTAGCAATCATTTTTCTTCATAAGTACTGCTAATCTAAGCTTACAAGTTCGCATTTAAAATGTCCTCTATGTACAAGTCTGGCTCCTGTTTGATTCATAAGGAGATGATATATAGTTAAAGGGACAGCATGGCATATTTTCAGTGAGCACATATTTCAAGTCATTATGGCAATGTTTACCTTGAAGTGGAACTATGGGCAAAATCAAAAATCCTCCATGTAACATAGTTTTATTGCCTGTTGATTATTCCAGGAGGTCTTCTTTTTACTACTTCCTATAAAAGACCAAGCTGTTCTGCAAATGTAGCAGGCAGTGGAGTCGGGAGAAACCATCTAACTATTAGGGGTGCTTACAAGGTCCCTTTTATTCATATGGCTTAAATCTTTTTTTACAGCTATAACAGTTAGGCTTTCATTGGTTTGTTGGTTACATGAAGTCAATAGAAAGCTACAAACCCATCTAAGACTACTCTGTCCAAAAGCGTGACAATGATAATGTGCAGTTTTACTGCAGAATGAACAGCATAGTCACTTTACAGGAGGTGGAAAAATAATTATGCTAATGGCAGGATCAACAGGAAATAAACTATGGTATGAGGGAATGGGGCTCAGAAAAACAAAAAACTGCTGTGTAAAGCTGCACTGTAGTCAGGTATAAATGACACCTGGTATAAGCCTCGTGATGAGCTGAAATGAAAAAGTAAGAAGATGCACAAGTAGCCAATGAGTTCATATGCTGACAAGAATCATGCTGATAGGAAAAGAAAGTAGAGTGACAGAGAGATGAGTTCATCACTGTGCTGCTTCTCCCTTCAATGTCCAGTAACAGGTTAGGGCTGATCTATGACAACCTAATTCCAAAAGATGTCACCAGCACTCCAAAAGTAGATTCAATATATTTTAATGACAACGGTCATTCAAAATCACAAGTACTTTCGGGGCCACGTTGGGTCCTCGTCATCAGGCTCAGAATAAGCCTGATGACGGGGACCCAACGTGGCCCCAAAAGTACTTGTGATTTTGAATGACCGTTGTCATTAAAATATATTGAATCTACTTTTGGAGTGCTGGTGACATCTTTTGGAATTACTACTTGACTACACGGTGCCTCCGTGGTCGCTACAAGCACCCTATTACAGACATCATCTCCTAAGAGATCCGGTAAGGAGTGCAGGAAGATACACACAATTTTGTACATCTTTGACAACCTAGGCTCAGAGGAAGTGGATTGAATGATGCTGGTCATCAGACTGAGGACATCTAGTGGTATATAAAAATACTGCGGGTAAATCTCTGGATTAAAGGTCAATATTGAAGTAAAAGCTGGTTTTCATGGGCTGCTTATTCTTGTCTGGAGTTCTGCTTTAATGCTAGTGACAGACTGCAGCATGCATATATTTTTCCCCCCATAGTTCTAATTTCAATACATTTTTGATTCCACCTGCATTTTATCTGGTTGCCTTCCATATTGTTCCTACTGTAATTTCTATAGAGCATTGTAGATCAATCACGAGAGGGAATTGTCAGTGATATCGCTGTGCCTCTGCATCCCAACAATTGCTGGGACAAGATTTCAGCCACCCAAGGAGTGCATAGTTTTCAATGAGTTGACCAACTCCTAGACTTAGATTGTTGGAAGAAGCAGTAAATCACAACTATTGTGCAGCACTGCAAAAATCAGAGAAAAAGAGAGAGTATGTAATGTGGAAAAATGGCTGCCCTCGTGCACTCACTCTATATTATTACATATTATACATATGTAAAGCTGGTCACATTTAAATAAAAAAAGGGGGGGGGGGGGAGACTACATTATAGCTTTAATTGCAAATTACAGCTTTGCCTTTGAATACATTTGAAAAGTCAGGTAGCTAGTTTTGTTGTTGGCTTTTTTTTTTCTCAATCTGCACTACAAAAACGAATGAGCACAATTTTTTTAAATTACATTGAAGCGATTAAAAAACAAAAATCAGGGGAAAAGGGGATGAAGGAGTATTGAAGGCTTAAAAAAGGGATGAAGGATTAAAACCTAATAGGAAGTATTTGGAGGAACAGTTTGGTGGGACCCTAGGTGCATTAGAGTTGCCGGAGGATTGTTCTCCAAGCTAAGCTTGCTTGGTGAGGACAATGGGCAGGTCTGGAGCTGTGGAACATTATTTTATGATTGCAGGATGACACATAATGTATGTTATGAGACTGAGGTTTGAAGCTGTATATTGCATCTCTAATTACAATACTTTATGGCGCTCAGAACATTGAGTAATGTTTTCTGCTAACCCATGGGGCTATTAGTTAAATCTTGTGGCCATATGGGCCTATTGCTCTTTGTATCATTACTCAGCAATTAACATTGTGATTTGAGTACATTGGTACTCTTCCTTTGTTTTCTTACTGTATGGCTTTTTGCATCACTGGCTTTTCATCCTGTGTTATGTTACTCAACATTGTCCTTTTTTTAATGTATCCATATTGTTGTTTTCTTTTATTGTTGTACGCTGTTGAAAATTAATAAAATATGTTTTAAAAAGTTTTTAAAAATCTAATAGGACTACCTAAACTCACTCCCGTAATAAACTACAATCTTATGTTTAGTTTACTCATTTGTATTGAGATTGTAGTCCATCTCAGTAGCGAGCTTAGAGCGGTGGCTACTTTACAACACACACAGGAAGCATGGGGAACATAAGTAGCCACCCTCCAGAAGGAAGGACAGTGTTAGCACTAATTCAGAGATTATTTGATCTACAGAGTGATACACAAATAAGACACATTTTTATGAATAGTTAAGGTACTGGAATGCATTTTTAAGATTTAACTCTGGAGTTTAATGCGAAGTGGAACCGAGCTGTCAAATGGACATCTGAGTCCTGTACATTACACAGGCAAGAGAGGCTTTCCTGTGTAATCATCAGAGTTCTGTGAAAGACATTTTTCCTGCTCTGTTTAGGGTGTCTGTCACTGACAGCAGAGAGTTGCACTCTCCCTGTGTAATCTACAGGACTGAGCTGTCAGTTTGACAAGTCAGTCCTGCACAGTGCACGGACAGGACTCATACGTGCCTCCAGTTGGGCAGCTCTGCTGTGAAAAATATGTGACCTAACTGTTGATTGCACTTTTATGGTGAATGTTGTGCAAGGAGGAATATGGATTTTAATGATGTTTAGTTTGTGACTTTGACGTTTCTCATGCTTTAGAGGATGTTATATATGAGCAGTAAAATCAAGGTATATACCACACAAGAAGCGATCGAGGTGGATAAAACGGTAAAAACGCGTGACACGAACCGTGCATATTCAATACGCCTAGGTGTGAACCCAGCCTGTGTGTGTGTGTGTAAAATATATATATATATTTTTAAATACCACTTTTATTTAAAGTACTTTTCACTCTTTTTTTTTTTTTTTTTACCCTTATGTACAGGTACAGGTTATAGACCTGGCATCCAAAAAGATATTAGGCTGCATGGACCCTGCTGCAGACAGCAAGTGCGGAATGGTGATGTGCATAAAACTTTGGCAGGTTAGCACACTTAATTTGAATTACCATATTTGGTGTTTTTTTTTAATGAAACAACTTTTCCCATGATGTTTTATAACAATGAAACAGCAGGCATGAGTTTTTTTGTAGGTTATGATTTGGCTTTCCAACTAGTCTGTGACTTGAGCTGCTGAATCTTCGACGGCATTTTCTTGATTATTCATCACAGGCCACGGTGATAGAATTCCTCAACAGGTGGGTTATGCAGCTACCTTCAGATGACTGGACACTGGCAAATTGATGGAAGCTGTAAAACAGCCCTGTATAACCTCCTACTCCTAGGCTGCCTCAGTTTTTTTTCTATTGTCCTTCGGTAATAGATGCTTTCTCTCTTTCATTTTTCTGAACTTTCCTGCTGAAGAATCTAGAAAGTTTCCCTAAGCTGTGAACAGCAACTGCAGCAGCTATCCAAACGGTTGTCACCTTGGCGCACCATATCTGGAAGACATGGGGCTGGACTGTTCTTAATGTGCTTATGACACTGAATCCTGTGTGGGGAACTCTCCTGGGCACTTTGTACAGCTTGGAAGTTGTCGCTGGGTGCTTTACAAGTCCAGGGCCATGATCCATTGTGGTAGAGCGCTGTCCCTGAAAGACTCCTTTTCGGTGGGAAACAATTTGAGGGCAAAGCTTCGATGAGGCATGACCACTCTGCCTAGTTATCCACTGCTCTGATGGTAGTAAGTCAGGGCTTGTCTCTGCCCAGGTACCTAGTTTCTTCCTTTTACCTCCGGTGGGTCACTGCTGGGGTTCCAGCAGCAGAGGGGGTTCACTGCCCTCTTCTATTTTTTTAATTCGGTGCCTTTCCCTGGGGGCATTGGGATTCCTAGTGTGCATGCACCCACCATTTTCCTATCTGGCATGTGCTAATCTGGCTACACAGGCTGTCCTGCTGCTGCTGTTACTCTGCAGGGAGCCTAGATCTCTGCCAGCCACTGCGCCGGGTTACTGCTTCTGCCTGTGGTGTTGGCTCACCTGGGTACACAAGCTGTCCTGCTGCTGCTATTACTTTGGATGCTATAGGAGTCCAGATCTCTAATGACCACTGCTGCTGCCTACAGTGTTGGCTCACCAAGCATACTCCGCCACAGTTGTGAATACTGGGATTTTCCCCTCTTGCAATTGACAGATCATAGGGACGTCTACCTCTGAGGAGTCACTGCCTAACAATGATTCTGGGGAGGGTTCTGACTCCTTCACTTCCCCTTTCAGGGTTCTCCTCTGGACCTTCCAGGGCACCCTGCTCTGGCCTGTCCAGGGAGGAATTTACTGTCATTGTGGAATTTATGGGAAAAATTAGTGCACTGTTAGTGTCTTCAGACCGCAGGCATAAGCGGGCCCCCTCTCTTTCCCTTTCGCTGTCTCCCTTCAGTCTCTCAGAGTTTTGGAACAAAGGGTAACAAGCTGGAGGTTTGCTCCTTGCTTTCTGCTGTCAAACTTACCAAGATGTGTCCAAAGACAGTTGGATGTTCTGGCTGCTCTGTGTGAGCTCTTCCCCAGGAGGTCATGGTCCTCATACCAAGAAATGGAAGAGTTCCAGGGGTTTTACTTCAAGCTTTTCACTCTAGGTAGGTGTTCATCCTATTCTTAATATCAAGATCCTCAGTGGGTTCCTGACGGTCCAGAAATTCCAGATGGAGTCTACCTGCTTTGTCATTGCCTCCCTTCACCTGGTAGACTTTCTGGCATCAGTTAACATCAAGTATGCATATTTGCACATCCTCATTTTTTTTCTGCCCATTAACGCTACCTGCCTTTTGCTGTGGCCATGCAACACTACCAAATTGTTGCCCTTTTATATTGCCTGTCCCCTTTACCTTGGGTCTTCACCGAGGTGCTGACTCCCGTGTTAGCTCTTCTTCGGACTCAGAGCTTCCCCATAGCAGTGTACCTGGAGGACCTTCTTCTCCTCAGAGAACAGATGTTGGAAGCCTTGCCTTACATCATTGATCGGACAACATAAACTCTGCAGGGCTTCCAGAAGTGGTTGCTGGAACCCCCTTATAGCATTGAATAGTTGGACATGGCCCTGTCCAGGGTCTTCCTTTCCTTGAAAAAGATCCCATCTCTCTGTTCTCATGGTCAGACCTTGCAGTCCAGGAGTTGCCAGACCATTCATTTTTGCATGAAGGTGCTGGGCTTGAGGGTAGCCTCCTTGTGCTCAATTTCATTCCAGACCGTTGCAGCTCAGCATCCTGGCTAAGTGAGACAAATAGGCTCAGTCCCTGGACCTCCCCATTCACTTGTCGAGCAAGACAAAGCTTTCTCTAACATGGTGGATCTCCAACCCGACATTTGAATCTGGGAAATCCTTATGGCCTATGGTCTGGAAGGTGCTAACTATGGATACCAAACTGTCAGGCTGGGGAACCGCTTGGTTCAAGGGACCTGATCAGTGTAGGAATCTCGTTTCCTGATCATCTTCCTGGAGATGGAGGCCTATAGGTTGTCCTTTCAGTGCTGGACCACCCAGTTACAGGGCCGCCTGACCAGGATTCAGTTGGACAATGCCATGGCTTACATCACCAATCTGGGAGGCACCAGAAGTTGCACAGCTCAAATGGAAGCGGACCTAATCCTAGCTTGGCCAGAACTTCACATAAAAGCCAATGGCGCTTTCAGTTTAAATCAGCTAAAATACATTCCAGGTGTGTTAAACCATAAGGTGTGCAAAGTCTTATGGCTCATTTACATTTACATGCCCGGAGACCTGCATTTTGTCTGCATATAAGCAACACAGGTTTTCGCAAGGGGACATAAAAAAAAAATTGGCTTCTATTCTGTTCACAACATAACAGAGTGGAGAGTTCCCCAGCAAACTGGGTGGAAAATGCAGCATGTCTGCATTTTCTGCAGCGCACTGTCTTTCACCTGAAGTCCATTTCTCTGTTGTGGTGCATAAAAATTAATGCAATACCACTTTGTGACATTTCAATAAAGTTCAGAAAAATGAAAACGGTGCATTGTAAAAACCCAAAGCACTGCCCCCACCGCTGGCACACACAGACACCAGCCCACACGCTAAAACCAATCGTTTTAGCAGCATGAGTAGAAAAGCTTATGTTCCCTGCTGATTTGAGAATCCTAACTCGGACCCAGCACAGAGTGTTTTAGACCCCTGCTGTGAAGGAAATGTAAGGATTTGCACACCTTTTGTTTTGATGGACCTGAAATGTATTTAGATGATTTAAACTGAGTTTAGTTGGGCTTTAAGCCAAGAACCAAATTAGCAAAATAGAGTTTTATAGAGGAACTGTCAGGAACTGCATCTGAACCCAGGGCCTCTGCTGTAGCTGGCAGTGGTTCTGTGATATGATCCCCCTCATACTGCTACCCATGTACTGACCTTTGGCTGCTGATTTACCGACTATCATCGTCTTCCGCTTCATACCTGATACCTTATGGCTACTGACCTCGGCTTCATCTCTGACTACGCTTCTGCCTGCTCCTATACTACTACTGTTTGCTTGTGTACCGAACCCGGCCTGTTTGACCACGACTTTGCCTGCTGTTTCAACTACTGGACTCCGAGCCTGATCCAGATCGTGACAGGAGCATTTTTCCATAATTTAAATGGGGAAGTCTGACTGGTCACTTTTGGGCTAATTTTTTTTCAATCTTAATGAAAAAGTACTTCAATCTGGCAAACGCTTGGATGAATCCAGCCCACAAATGTTAATCGGCTATAAGGAAAGGGAATCTTTGGATGGGTATTTGGTGATGAAAATTGATTATTAGCTTTATAAATATTCCCCTTATGATGTCATAATATTGGGTGGTTCCACTAAAGTGCCGTTTAATGTCACACCCTAGATATTATGAGCAAGGAAGAAAATGAAATGGCATTGTTTGAACAGCATTCTATTAATCATTGTTATACTAATATATTTTTTTAATTGTGAGCGTCTGATTTATTGTTTTACACACGTTGTAATTGTTCAGATAAGGAAAGCCTCTGAACAATCACATATTGTAAATTACAAATTGTGCAGTACATGATGTTTTGTGAATGTGCTGTTGAAAGCTTTATGACCTCAAGGTATTTCTTTCATGATTGTAAGCTATAGAAGGGAATCAGGTGACAAACATGATTTCACAGATTCAAATAATATATGAAGGTTTTTTTATGTTGTTAAAACACACAAACTGTAATGTTGACAGATTAAGGGAGATACACACAACCGGTAATATCTTGAAAGCGTACAGATCCTCATATAAATGAGTAATAAGAAAATAAATACTCAGAAAATAGAAAAGAAAACAACATAGGAAACAAATTCCAAAATAAAATATTATACAAATACAAAATATAAATAAAAATGAAATAACCGGTTCCAACTCTTAAGGTCTGCCACTCCCCCACCTCCCACATCTCTCATCAACATGACATGTGGCTCATGGTGCTGAAAATAAATGTTCATTTAAAACTAAACCCCAGGCAGATATAAAGGGCAAAATGAATGCAGCTCTTTACTCATTAATAAATCATTAAATGTATGTGGTTTTTTTTTTGTTTTTTTTTAATGCAAGCAGTGCAACTACCTGAATCTGAATTGGTATCAGCCTTTTGCGTCTTTACTGGGAAAAGCAGCACAAGGAACCAATCAGGTTTGCTGCAGTCCAAGGAGCATGCTGATAGGAGAAGAATACAGTGTGACATAGACAAGGTGGGGGGACTGTAAGTAAAATTGAAACTGCTGTAGAGAAAGATCAGGTCCCCCTCCCCTTCTAGACAGGACCGTGCTGTGAGGGCAGAGCTGTGTAAATCTCAGGACTGGATGGACAGAAATACAAATCTTTTGAGAGGTAAAATAACTCCCATATATGTATTTCATATGTGTATTAAGCGGTTTGCCTGGATTTCAGAATAAACGACAGAATAAAAATGAACCCTTGCAGTGGGGCTACCTCCCCAAATTCAAGGTTAACTGTGCGGTTTTCTCTAGGGACCAAATAAAGAAGATATACTCAGCCGAGCCTCG